ATGGCCTCAGTAAATATCCAGCTGTATACATGGATAAAATTGTAACCCATGTAAGTTGCTCTGGATAAGAGCGTCTGCTAAATGACAATAATGTAATGTAATTTCGGCAATCTGGGACCTGAGCTTAAACAAAGTGGCACGCAGATAGAGCGAACGGGCGGACCTGATGGTGGGGTCGCTGTTGGAGGTGATCCACACGCCGGCGAAGTTGTTGGCATAGATCTTGTTCTCGATGAACTGGCCCCGCCCCTTCTCGTGCACATAGATGCCGCCCGTCTGTCCGTGGTGGATCTCGCAGCGCACCACTGTGGGGTTGGCGTACGCCTTCACCTCGAAGCCCGCTATCCGGTTCCTGTGGATGTTGCAGCTCTCAAAGTAGCCCTGCAGGGGGAGACAGAGTCCAGTAACTATCTATGTAAGTGTAAATAAATATATGTATGTGTGTTTCAGTATGTGTGTATGTGTAAATATTCTTCAACTAGTTGTTATTTTGTTTGAAGAAACATGTGAAAACTGCTTTGGCAATACTGTACATCTGTGTGGTGATGCCAATAAAGTTTGTTTGAATTTGAATCAAAACACAACAAGCCGCATTCGCCTCTGCTGGCTGTCCTTCAGTGAAGAAGTAGTTTAAAAAAAAAAAAAAAAACTTTTTAGGGGTGTCTGAGCACATTTACATAATTCAATTCTCTCAGATTTGAGTCTCTCGTGCAAACCAGAGGAGTTTAGTCCTGATACCCATCGGGCAGCTGGCTCAAGCTCCGCCTCTGGCGTTCCACCAGGCCCCCAATTCGTGAGGCAGAGAAAGCGAGAGAGAGAGGGAGGGAGAGGGAGAGAGGGGGAGAGAAAGAGAGGGAGAGAGAGAGCGTGAGTGAGAGAAGGAGAGAGAGAGGGAGATGGAGAGAGAGAGGGAGATGGAGAGAGAGAAAAAGAGCGAGAGAGAGAGAGAGAGAGAGAGACAGAGAGAGTAGTGAGCAGGGGAGCGAGAGAGAGCAAGCTCAAAGCGCAGATGAAGGGTGTGTAGGGAGTAACGCGGCAGTTTGGGGAGTTACCATGCCGTGGTCAAAGGTGAACACCCCAACATCTCTGCCGTGGTGGATGTGGTTGCGTCTGATGATGGGGTTGCCGTGGTTTTTCACCCAGATCCCCGCCAGCGCGTTGTTGGAGATCTCGTTGTCCTCGTATATCCCCTGGGGAGGAATGGAAAAATGACCAAATAAAACCTTCACTTTGCACACACTCTGATCCCAGGCAACTTCCACTGTGTACAGTGTAACAATGTACACAGCTGTAGAGGTAGCAGAAACAATTAAAAAAACTAAACAGGATCAGGACTAGGGCTGGGTATCGAGGCTCGGTACTCCTAAAGCACCGACCGAATAACGTCGATACTACCGAGTATCGAAATCTGTTTACGCATTCGGTGGTACATTTCGGTACTTTGTGATAAGGACTCCCTATTAGCTTTCTCATTTAAGGCTTTGCTCACAAAGAAATTCTCGTTTGATCATTCAACAAATATCAGACATTTTTAGCAAACTAGCCAGCGTTAAATACTTGATACCTAATGTTGCTAACTGGGAGTGTGTGGGAGAATGAGCTAGCTAACGTTAGCTGTACATGACTAGGGGCTAGGTAGGCTATATTGGGGAGCTGTAAAAGAGATTGTGTATAGAGACTGGAGAGGTAGAGCGAATCAGAAGTTGCAGACACCAGAATGGAGGCTAGCGCACCGCAACATGTCCACTCCCCATTGATTATAATGGGGAAACTGTCTTTTCCCACCAAACTAAGGGGATTACAGTCATATTTTCAACCAAGTTACACCCATAACTCATATAAGAATAAGAATCAAGGCGTGATTTTACTTGACACGATTCGACAAAGAAGTTAATGGAACGTGCATAACTGAGGAATAGCCTACAAGAATTTAGTCGTAAAGTAGCTTTAACTTTAATGGTTACTGAACTGCGTATGAACATCGAGATATATACGGATCGAGCCAGCACTTGCCAGTCAGTGATAATGAGCGCAGACGGTCTTGTAGCGAAGGCTATCATAAACAGTTCCCTTGACAAAGGAGTTCCTGGCCGGAATTTTTTAACTTTCTGAATGAATGAGTGGACAACTACACCAAGGTTACTGACATTCCAATATGTAGATATGTAGCTAGTTTCCTCATTGTAATGGGTTCTCAGCTAAAAATCGCAGACAAAAATAGAGCTAGCTGCAAACGTTTGGCAGTGCCTAAAAGCGGAACATTGCAGCGACTGTTGTCACTTATAATTGTGCTTGCTACCTTGCTGGGTAGCTATTGATTTCAGTATGATTCGTTATAAAGCTATATATATATAATTGTTATTTTAATCCCTGTGAGCTGCATATAAAGCTATTACATAAAAAATTACACGTTATTCGCTCGCTACAAATGAAGTCTTTTTTTTTTTCCATAATCCGCATTTTCTCTGACGTTAGCTAGTTCAGGGCACACGGATTCACAAATCATGGCTAGCTAGCATTAGCTACCTACCTTAGGCATTATTGTTATAAATGGATTGAAAATATGACTGTAAACCCCTTTGGTAGAAAAAGGCAGGAATATTCCCTTTAGGGTCAACGGAAAATTGACGCGGTGCGGTGCACTGGACGCCATGGTTTCTGTAACTTCGGCAATAAAGGGAAGCAGTTACGTTCTCTCCATATCTTAGAGTTCAGTGCTGTATACTCGTTTATTTAGTTAACGTTAGTTTATGCAATAACGAGCATAATGAGGTACCGAAAAAAGTATCGTTTTGGTACCAGCACCGAATTCCAGGTACCGGTATCGGCACCAATACCGAAAAATTTTAAACGATACCCAGCCCTAATCAGGACACTAGCTTGCTCAAAGGTGCAGCAGCACTTCTGCATTCTGCACTCAAACCTGCAACCCCTCATGTTCCAGGTTTTCTCCCTGAAGCCCCATGCCCCTCTGCTGCCAGTGGAGGATGCACAGATAACCCTGGAGGTTACCTGTGCTGACCCTGGGGCTTATTTGCCCTTGAGAAACGAGCTTGTGGCAGCAGCTTTAGCCGGTTACAGCAGCTGACGGTTAATGACAAGCCACAGTGTGGCGCAGACATTAGCGACCTGGAACGTGTAACTGAAGTTGCAGGTTTGAATCCCAGTGGGGGCACAGCTAGTGCTCCGTTAGGGGTGTGTTCAGGCATCCTACCTGTGAGTGTTCAGTGATGTGCAGGTGTCTTACCTGTGCGTGGTCCGTGATGTACAGCCCCACGTTCTCACAGTCGCTGATGTTGCAGTGCTTGATGGTGGGACATGCCCCCTGGCCGCTTACACATACCGCTGAGCCCACTGCAGGGGAAAGTGTGGACAGGATTACAAATGCACTACAACACCCAGCATCCTCCACTATGTGTCACATCAGAGAGGAGCTGAGCAGAAACTACAATCCCCAGCATCCTTCACCATCCTTCACATCCCAGGAGCTGAGCAGAAACTACAACAGCCAATATTCATGACTATGCTTCACTAGGCGGTACGCGGAAGCTAGAGGACCCGGCATTCTTCACTGGACAGAAGCTGATGTCAGCGAGTGTGTGGGCAGGTGGGTGGAAGTGCAGAGTGAAAGGGTGATGAATGTGCTTACCTCAGCATGTGCAGACGATGCAGTGGTCAGTGCTGTGAGTGAATGGGTGAGAGCGAATGAATGCGTCGACGTGAGTGAACGCAGCATTTACCTGTGCAGGTGCTCCGGATGACGCAGTGGTCGATGATGGGGCTGCAGTTGACCGTGATCTCCAGGCAGTGGTGAGCGTTGTGGTGCTGTGCAGACTTGTCATCAGGGTTAAACTACAAGGGAGAGACAGACACAGGGCATAGTGAACTTTCAGAGACAGAGAGACAGGGCAGAGAGACAGGGTGAGCTTTCAGCGACAGAGACAGGGCAGAGTGAGCTTTCAGAGAGAGACAGACAGACAGGTGGGGCAAGGGTGAGAGTGTTTAAAAAAAAAAAAAAAGATACCTACCCTAATGGTCATGTAGCCAACATAGGCGTCCTCTGACCCCTCCATGAACACAAAGGTAGAGTCTCTGGTGTTCTCAATGATCACCTTATCTGCCACCTTCCCAGGTGCTGCAAACGGAAGGGAAGAGAGACAGAGAGTGTCCACATGTTCCAACACCAGAACTACAGCGACAAGAGGGGTGAATGACACACATTTCCTAAAGTGTCATCATTTCAGCATGATGGCTCTACACCTGAGGAAGCCTCTAACACCCAGCGTTATGGGCTGATTTAATAAAACCTCCAAATGCCAAACTCTGCTGTGCCTTCAACAAAGCTTGTGAAAAAAAAACAAAAAACTGCCAATCAGGACCAAAATGCTGCTTTATCTTTCACCTCAAATGGATCACTCAAGGGAAACTAGGCAAATTATGACCATTTCTGCTCAGAAGTCCATCTCCAGTACTGAAAAAGCACAAATGCCAGCTGCATTTTTTTATCCCACACATTAGAGTGCAGTCAGTGACAATTCAGATAATCTGGAAGCTCTCTTTACCATAATCCCAATTGATGGAATTTGGCTACCTAATGGCCTGAACTCTACTTCCTGTGCGGCTGAACCCTGCTTCCTGTGTGACTGAACTCCACTTCCCTCTCCCCTGAACTCCGCTTCCTGCTCCCCTGAACCCCAGCACGTACCTGCGCCGATCATGGTGATGGGGGACTCGATGTAGATCCACTCGTCTGTGTAAATGCCGGAGTGGACGAATATCAAGCCATCAAAGTGGGCTTCCTGCACCCCGCCCAGCGCATCCTCAATGGTGTCGTAGTACTGAGGGGGGAGGAGTCACAAAACAGCCCTGAGTAATCTACACCTGCCAAGACTCTGGCTAAAATAACACACTGAGCATGCAGAAAGCCAGGGGGAAGGAAGAAAGTCATTAAAACTCCTATATCCACTTTACGTACACATTTGAGTGGTTTAGGAGAAGAGGAAGGTGTAGCATAGTGGTAAAGAGCAGGGCTCATAACCAAGAGATTCCTGGTTCGATTCCCCGCCGGGGCACTGCTGCTGTGTCCTTAACCCACAATTGCCTCAGTAAATATCCAGCTGTACAAATGGATAACATATAAAAACTGTACCCTATGTATGTTGCTCTGGATAAGGGTGTCTGCTAAATGACAATAATGGACAGAGAACAGTCTAACAGCTGTGAAGGTAATGAGGGTGTGGCTGTCAGGGGGTGCTACATACCAGCATGTTTTCTCGCCCTTTGTATCTGGCTGGGTTACTGTAGAAGTGTTCTGCAAAGCCTGGTTTTACATGCGCTCCTTTGTACTGCAAACAGACACAATCAAAGAGTCACAAAGATCCCTCTTCTGACACAGTATCCCACTAAAACAACTTGAGCTCTTCTGGAAGGAGCTACAGTTAATCTCTTTTGCAGTGTCAAGGAGTTGGGTTTCAAACACACTCTTTTGAAAGAGAACCTTCACGAGGATGGCTTCAGACCAACCAAACACACAGACAGATACACACACGCACACACACGTGCATACACACACACCAAAGGCATGCAGCCACCCACACCCACGCAGACAGACACACACTCGTACCAGCTGTTGGAAGCTCTCCTTCCAGGGGTTGGGTTGATCGTACTCCTCAGGGTTGATCTGGTAGAACTTTCCAGGCTCAGGGTGCATCATGGGACGCGTGTACTCAAACACCTCCATGTACAGCCTCTTCCTGCAAAACCCAGAGACCGCACAGCTCAGCCCCGCCCCCAGATCAGAAAAGTACTCTGGGAAGGGGCCCTTCTTTACCTGAGGCCCTGTCACAACTTCTGATTCAGATATTCATAACATTACAGCAGGAGTAGAGACAGCTGGGGTTGCGTGTCTGTCTTAAATCCTAGACGCCTTAAGGCCTAGAAGGGCAGCAGTGTGGCGTAGCGGTGAGGACCAGGGCTCGTAAGTGAAGGGTTGCCAGTTCAATTTGCACTGCCGCTGTACCCTTGGGCAAGGTACTCAACCCACAATTGCTGTAGTAAATATCCAGCTGTATAAATGGATAAAACTGTAACCTGTGCAAGTTGCTCTGGGTAAGATCATCTGCTAAATGACAATTATGTCATGTAATGTAATGTAGAAGGCTGACAGTTTCGGGGTCTCTGGCATCTGTGTGTGACAGTGCTGCTGGTTTTTGGGGGCGCGCCGCTCACCACAGGATGGGGTCGTTGGCGAGCTCGCTGAAGCGCTTGCACACGCACGCCGCCTGGCACAGGTCCTGCTCCAGAAGGTAGGAAAAGATCTTCAGCACGACCTCGTCCGGAAGCTTCTCTTGCAGGTACTGCTCTGCGGGGGCAGCTGGGAAGGGGGGAGCAGAGATCTCAGCGTCATTCAGACCAGCTGACCGTGGGCCATTATGTGTGCATTCTTCATCACCACCACCATCATCATCACCACCACTATCATCATAATCATCATCATCATCATCCTCATCGTTATGCTTTTAGGGGGTAAAGTGTATATAACACAGTGTGACTGTGTACATAACACAGTGAAACAGTTATAACTATAACTAATGGCTGTATATATCCATAGCCTGCTCTCATGTATACTTTAGCTCATGTTCATTGTGCAACAGCTGTCTATAGACACCTGATTCATTCCATCTGTATTCCATGTATGTGTCCTGCATTATTTGTTTGTCCTAACACTACTGTTGGGTGGTATTTGTTGTTGTCACTTTGACATTGTACGAAAGCACTACAAGAGACACCAGAACCGGAATCAAACTCATTGTATGTGTAGAAACATGTTTGGCCAATAAAGTCTGATTCTGATCTTGATTCTTAACCCCCCAATCACTGTGACACTCACCTGGCAGGTCCTGCGATTTGCCCGACACTCGGGCCCGTTTGGCGCGGTGGCCGAAGTTCTCTGTGGCTGAAGTGGAAGCACCCTGAAGAGAAACAGGGTTAGGAGACGCAATGAAGGACTCGCAGTGGACTGCTACAGTACGTCAGACACTGACAGGCTTCTCAGAGCGTCTGCAGTCATTTACGTACACACACGCGCGTGCGCGCGCACACACATGCAGTGACTCACACACTCACACACACGCACACACACGCACACACAGACTCACATATTGTCACACACACACACACACACACACACACACACACACACACACACACACACACACACAGTGTCTGTGCTTGCTAACCTCCATGCTGCTCTTGGCTGGACAAGCGGTTCTCTTGGGTAAAAGGGACTTCCTGCGGAGTTGGTAAGGACTGTTCTGTGCTCCTGGACCGGATTCTTCTGCAACCATATCTGCAGGAATTTCCTCATCTAAAGAGAGAGAAGAAACACACACCACACTGGTGAAAGCCTGCTACACACACTCATGCCTGTGCACACACACACATGCACGCACATCACAACTCGCTAACCGTGTGGAACATCTCTCCAAATATTCTGCAAAAAAACCACTGTTTACTGGTGGAGCTCATGTCAGAGCCACCTGGTCACCCTTGGTCTGTATCTTGGTCTCAGGAACCCAAATGCCTCCTTCTGAGAGCCTAAAAAGTCCAGGCCAGCTGCCCTGCAGCAGCAGGAGGCAGCCGTTCAAACACACCACGGCCAGAGGAAACTGATCTGGGACCTGTAGCAAAGCAACAGCAGGGGCAGAGGTTTTTGGAGCCGAGTGGAAAGAGGGCAAAGAGAAGACACTCGGACGAGAGAGTCAACCCTGGGCAGACAAGCGGACAGGTAGACAGACAGGTAGACAGAGAGGCACTCTCCAGCTGGAATACAATCCTTCATGAGAAAACAAAACCTAAAAAAACCTCTTGGCATCACCTGACAGGTAAGGGCATGCCTCCACTGGAGCCTGCAGGAAAACACTAGAACAACAAAACTGACCCTGCCAAACACACGCACACATGCGGGCACGCATGCACACACACACAGGCATCCTCTCTGACACTCTCCATGTCCAGTGTACATGGGACTGCTTCTCATTCACCTTGGGCACAAGCCTCAGCTGACCATTCTGAGGATCCACGTGGACCACAGCCAACCCCAGTGAGCACGCTCTGTCTGTAGTCATGGCAGCAGGGGGGCTGTCCCAGGCTACTGGGGTTGTAACCACCACAAATACCTTGTGTGTGCTCCTATGTTTATCTCCTCTACAGTGTCTAAATATCTCCTCTCTACAGTGCGAATATGAGTGTGTTTGGATATACACATACAACCAGAGCCAAATTTTACTTAAAAAACAATTTCTTCACACTGACAAAAATCTCTCCCTTCGGAAGGAGACAGGACCCTCTTTAAAACGCTCACATTCAGGGGGCTTCATCTCTGAGGCTGTGGTGGAAGGGGGCTACTCAAAGGTCCCCCTTCTTTCTGTCCTATGCCATCACGAGGACACCCCTCAGAAACAGGGTGTTTCAGAGGGAGCTGACACGAGGTTCACCCCGAGATTCAACATAAAGACAACAAAAGCCAGACAGACAGAGAGAGAGAGAGAGAGAGAGAGAGAGAGAGAGAGAGAGAGAGAGAGAGAGAGAGATGGGAGGGGGGGAGAGAGAGAGGAAGGGAGAGAGGGGAGGGAGGGGGTGCAGGACACAAAGAGAAAAGGGAAGAGGTTGGCAGGGGAGGAGTCGAGCCCCAGCACCCCAGCAAGGCGCACCCCAGGGGACCGCATTGTTCTGCCCCGGTGGGGATTAATGAGGAAGCCCATTACTCTTACCCCCGAGGGGGCGGGTCGAAGGGTGTGGCCATTCAAAGCCTGCTGCCGCATGCGAAACAAGCGCGTGGGGGCTGGGGGGGTGACGAGACTGACTGATTGATTCAAAACAGGAAGTGAGCTATGGCAACCCCCCACGTGCACAAAAGGTTAGATGAAAACACCCCCTCCCCCCTCTTAGAGCCTGCCATGCCTGTGAGATTCTGGGGAAAATTTGATCACCAGGCAGCAAGGGTCTCAGGTCCGCTGCTCTGGTACAAACACGCCGTTCGCAGCGTGGCTCTGTGGCTACAACAGCCATGCCGAAAAACCCTCAGTGGTCACTCAAGACAGCACTCTCAAAATGTCTGGGTTGCACCCATCCAAGCAAGCCCTCTGAGAGAAAGTAAGTAAGCTTCATTATGACTAAATACTCAGAGGCGATCAGGTCACAGCTAACACAGTGACAGCTAACGCGTTTTGCTAAAGAGAACGCACTGGCAGGATAGTGTGGGGGCCAGAGGAGCTATACGCCTGAGGCGCATGCACACATGCACGCAAACACACATATATACACACAAATGCACTGAATCACACATGGTCTCGCACGCACACACTCCCACCGCCTACATTAAGCAGTGCTGGTGTACGGAGCATGGTGAGGATCTGGATATGTAACCAGAAGGTTGTCGGTTTGATTCCCAGGTGGGAAGTCACACTGCTTCAGTAAATACACAGCAATACAGATGGATATGCCAAAATAACTAAACTAAGCTTTGCTTGTTATGGCCATCTCTCAAGCAAATGCACATTAAAAAATAAATACAGATGGTAGGCTAATTGTAATAGTAATTGAAAAGCAGAGCGTTTTCATTAGTCTTGGTTAATATCAATGTGTCATATAGTCCCTGCTGATGAGGCAGCTCTGGTTTTGTGCCACACACCCCTAAAGAGCAGCTGCCATTTCAACAGCTGCCAGAAACTGCACACAGGCGGAGAAACATCTTATTCACACTCGACAGCCCTTACAATCAATACGCACCAGCGCAAACATTTGCTGCCTCATCACGGCGCAGAAACAGGCTGCTGTAATACCGACCAGCTGTGTCGGCGCGCGGTGCATTTACGCAGTACTGCGTACTGAAACACAAGAATAAACACCGAACCGCTGAAGTTCTGAACTTTTAATGTGCTGACTTTTAATGTATTTAAACAATAACAGTTATCTGTTCAATTTCATGTGAAACAGCAGAACTTCGCTGGTGTTCAACACAATTTGGCTGCATGCTATGTCATGACCTGTCACCAAGGAAATACCATCGCTT